TGACTCATCTATGGGGTTTTCTTATCACGGGATATCTGTTACCATTGTATTTTTCTTGGATTTTTTAAATTCCCTATCTAGGGTTCTACTGAGACTGTTCAAAAAAGTGTTTTTTAATATATAAATCAAAAGTAGCTATTTTGAACTGAATACCTATTTAGTTATGATACAGACAAGCACAGGGCCACATAAAGTATTTGTGCACTAGATGCAATCTTGCTTGAAGTAAAGTACATAATAATATTTTAGTTATATGATGTCAGTTTTTCCCTAACCAAACAAGTCAAATACAGTGCAGTGCAAGGACTATGTGCTATTATTTCAGAATTACTCATTTATAAAATATCCAGATTATTTCTCCAAATCAACCTTACGTTCTTCTGTACTGCATTGGGTGACTAGTTATTTTTTTTTCCATTTTAAATTTTAAATTAACCATTAAGTTTCATTGCCATCCAGTTATTGCTATTCTACACTGGTTACAATTTGATTTTAATGATGTTTCTCATGGACATTTTAATTGATTGTCTGTTTTATTGGATGTCTTTAAACCATCATGAATCCTGATTAGTTCAGCAGTATAAAATAAAATGAATGATAACTTGAGAAGGATATAAAATGTCTAGAACAAGCCATGTTCAAAGTTGCACTTGAACTCAAAGATTTGGACTTCCCCAAATTTTCAAGCATCCTTATCTCCTGACACTTTCTTGGTGTGCCTGAACGGCTGCAAATGGAATGTATATAGATGGCTTCTGCTGAAGTTAGAATATATTTTATTTTAAATGTGTTTTAATACAGTTCCATGGAGACTTTCCCTATTTCTATTGCTACATTCTTTTTGGAAGGATTGACCTGCAGTCTCTCACTGTAAAAATAAATTCATGTGGCATTTTCAGTCAAAGCACATATCAAGCTTAAAATTCATTAAAGAAAGTCCTTTAATTTTTCATGCTCCAGAGTATTTACCCTTGAACTCATGCCAAAGAATTAACATTTAATTAAATCTTCACAGCATGATGTTAGTTCCCTCAAATCCAATTTTAGCATGTTTACAGGAAATCCTTCTTATTGGGCTGCTTTCTCTTTAATTGTGGTTGCCTTTATCCACATTCCCGAGATTGCAAACATTTCTGCTGCAATAAATAGAAGCTGGCTAAACAATATAATCCCGAAACTAATAAGATAGAGAGGATTGGTATTTAAATGCTTTGTTTTTTTAGATAACATATTTATCTACTTGAAAGTAGCTTGAAACTTAGTGTTTGCATGTCACTGTGGTAGTTAATGAGATTTCAGATATGTTATCTTTTCTTTTTGCAACTACCCAGCTAAAGCCTTGAGATAGTCCCTGCTCTAAATTAGGATATTTATCTCTTTAGCTGAAACATGTAAATTACAATGTTAGGTTTTGCTGTGCAGAAGTACTAAACATGTAAGATTCCCTGCTGCAAGCATGAATCAGTAATCAAGACCATCTCCTCCTTTGCAGCTGGGAACTATCCCAGGTCTGCTCCTCCACTCGCTTTGAGCAGCAGAATGCCCATCCCATGTAATACAGGTGGTTCTTGACTTACAACAGTTTGTTTAGTGACCATTCAAAGTTACAATAGCACTAAAACAAATTAATTATGACACTGATGACAGTTGCAGCATTCCCATGGTCACCTGACCAAAATTCAGGTCCTTGGGCAACTGACTCATATTTATGACAGTTGCAGTGTCATGTGGCCACCTTTTGGGACCTTCTAACAAGCAAAGTCAATGGGGAAGCCAGATTCACTTAACAAACCTGTTACTAATTTAACAGCTGCAGTGATTCACTTAACATCTGCAGCAAGAAAGGTCATAAAATGGGGCAAAATCCACTTGACAAATGTCTCACTTAGCAACAGAAATTGTGGGCTCAATTGAGGTAAGTTGAGGACTACCTGTAATAAAATCCAAGGTCCCTGGTGGAGATTTTTCCTCTCTTGAAACATATTTACTTTCATTGCACATGCCTGGGATTTAAGGATGGAACATCTGATCTAAATAAAAAGCATGGGCTGTTTCATTATTTATTTATTTATTTATTTATGAGACTTATATACCACTTTAAGTGCAAGCACTCTCTAAGCGGTGTACACCAGTAAGCAATGTATATATATATATTTACATTGCCCCCAACAATCTGGGTCCTCATTTTACCTACCCCGGAAGGATGGAAGGCTGAGTCAACCTTGAGCCAGTGAGATTTGAACCGCTGACCTGCTGAACACAGTCAGCTAAAGTTGCCTGCAGTACTGCACTCTAACTGCTGCGCCACCTCGGCTCAATTTGTTTTTCAAAAAGGACAGACTACAACTCCCAGAATTCAGGCTGGAAATTAGCAGAGCTTCAGGCCAAAACACCTGGAGGGTATCAACTTCAGAAAATAGCCATAGGCTATAGATTCTTTTCTTAGGTAGAAGAGAATCTAACATGATGCTAGAAGATAAAGAAACTAGACTGTGAATTCACATGCAGATTTATTACAGAGAATTGAAAAGATTCTTTTTTCCCATCAGACTAGTTAATTGTTTCCCTTCCCCATATCATTTTTCTGATATTTTTCAGTATGGATATTGTTCTTTATAGCATAACAAACAAAAGCAACAGCTTAGAAATAGTATTAGAACATTGGAAAACTAAAGATCATCCTGGGCATTTTTTTTAAAGATGCTGAAGGAAAATGTGGGAATGAAAGATCATGGTAATGGCATAAGAGTGGTACGTTAAAAAAATAAACAGGAGGAATGTTTTTTGCTGCCCAAGGAAAAGCATTAGGCGTAAATATCACCAAGGTAAAAATGGAGAAGATCAGTTTGGATAGCAAATTTATTTATTTATTTATTTATTTGACTTATATACCGCTTTAAGTGCAAGCACTCTCTAAGCGGTGTACACCAGTAAACAATGTATATATATATTTACATTGCCCCCAACAATCTGGGTCCTCATTTTACCTACCTCGGAAGGATGGAAGGCTGAGTCAACCTTGAGCCGGTGAGATTTGAACCGCTGACCTGCTGAACACAGTCAGCTAAAGTGGCCTGCAGTACTGCACTCTAACTGCTGCGCCACCTCGGCTCTTTTTCTAAATGTTTGTTGTGCTGAAATAGGGATCAAATAGTTGACTTTATAATAATTGGGCATGGCAGAACTGGACAGACTAATGACAAAAAAAAGGCATGATGGAATTGGGAAGACATTACACTGGCCCTTATGTAGAAAGTACAGATCCACAAATAAAAACCACAAATAGGATTTTAACATTTATATTATTGACACTTGGAACAATATCCCAAATATTATTGAAATTGAAAATAACCATTGTTGATTTATTGATAAAGCCATTCCAAGAGACGGCAAGGTAGAAGACAAGGAATTAGAAAACATTTTCAAATTACTGAGATTGGCAAACATTTGGAAGAATAGTGAAATCCATGGTTATGGGTGGCAACAGTGTGATTCCACATGGACTTGGGAACAATTTGGATTCCTAAAATTGGAACGGGAGCCAGTTTGGTATAATGGTTGAGGCATTAGGCTACAAACTGGAGACTGTGAGTTCTAGTCCTGCCCTAGGCACAAAACCAGTTGGGTGACTTTGGGCCAGTCACACTCTCTTAGCTCTAGGAAGGAGGCAGTGGCAAACCACTCCTGTAATCTTGCCAAGAAAACTGCAGGGACCTGTCCACCTTTGACAGCTGAACTTCAAACAAATAGCACTGTGGAGCACTTCATATGTAATTAGGTGCTATTATATTGTAATTGTGCAGGCCTTAAGTTATGAAGAAGAAAAGTGGCCAACATTACATGCAAAACACAATTAGGGGAATTGGAATAATAATAAAGGTGAAAGCTGTTCTAGTACTGAATATCATGCTCCCTTCCATGTGGAACAATTTTCCAGTCTCATTTTTTGGATCACTCCACTTCCGAAGGATAGCTTCTCAAGACACATGTTCTTGGCCTTTTACATCCCCTCCATCTAAAGAGCAATGGAAGGGAGGTTTTTTTGCACATTAATCAATTATTATTCAATTCTTAAGAATGATCCAAATATATCTTCTCTACCACTAATGCAAAAATCTGTGTTTTCTATACTCCAAACACAAGCATTTTACAAGTGGGAAATTCAGTTACTTTCTAGCTAACATGCTTATTTTATAGTGTATCCTGCAGAAGTGCCATAGCCTTATTGCTTGGTTTCTATAGAGGTTGTGTGTGCAGTACAATCTTATTATCAGTATGCATGTGTGTATAAAGAAGCTAGCCACCACTTTTCTGCAAAAGGAGGTTTTAAAGCATGGATTAGGTATTTCCCAAATGAACATGAAAGTAAAAAAAAAAGTTCTAGTGCTCACTACTCAACGCCAAGTGCTGTTTTATGTCTATAACTCTTTGTTGTTGTTGTTGTTGTTGTTTTTCCCTCTTCAGTTGATGGTCCTTCCTTGTCTGCATTACATATCCATTTGTCCCCTTTTTAACAGTAAGCATGGTACTTTAGAACTATTGAATATTCCATAATACTGTACTAAGAATCAAATGCTTCCTACCACTCAGCAATATTTAAAAAGTCTCCACATCAGTCATCTCCAGAGGTTTCTGTTAGGCTATTTAATACAAATTTGTGCAGAAATTAAACAAATTTTATTCAAAGAGTAAAACAAAATGTGTAAATTTGATTAATTTGTCAAAGCAAATATTGCTTAATTAAGGAACTCAGTGATTACTTCCTAATTCATAAATATTAACTATGATCAAATGTTGTTGCCTAACACATTAAAGATTTTACTTATTTGATGATTTAGTTTTTGGAATTGGAAATCTTACAGTTTGAGTTATTAATTAAAGGATGTAATAATTAAGGGGTATACTTCTCAGACTTAATTAAGCAGGAAATGTTAGAATTCTTGAGTCCAGCCATTGATGGATGCAATGCACTCAGCAATTTTAATTATTTATGGTTTTAGTTTTAGGAGAAGATAAACTATCCATTGAAGTAAGAAGACCTGCTTCCAGAAGTTCACCAGAGGTCTGCTCTGAAGATCAAGCATCAAATAAAAGGGTACCACCAATTACAGTGTTTGATCTGTGATATATATAGGTGGTAGAAATGATTACTTGTAATCCTTGATTTATGATCGATCGCTTAGCGACTATTCAAAGTTATGACAGATCTCCCCAGGGCTACTTACAACCTGGATTCAAAGTTTCAATGGCTGCCACCCCCACCCAGCAGTCACGTATTCACATTTTGGACACTCGGCAACTGGTCTGCATTCACGGTTGTTCGCAGCATCCTGCAATCACATAACCATGACTTAGATTTTTTTCTTTCTTTTTTTTGCTGCCAGAAACCAGCATTTACTTGTGGTTTCTGGTAAAGAGTATCCATTGTGAACAATGGATTCACTAAACAGCCTTGGTCTTTGCTTAATGACTGTAGCATTCACTTTATGACTGCCATGTTCACTTTAAGACTGCTGCAAAAAAGTTCGTGAAATTGGGTGCGAACATTTTGTAACCTGGTTAAAGACCGGCATAACTTATAACCATCATTCTGGGATCAGTTATGATCCTAAGTCAAAGATTATCCGTACTTGTACAGGATAATAGTATTCATTGAAGGGATATTTTACTTGGGTAGCGGAATGAAGGAAGGCCTTTTGAAGTGAAGTGTGCTTCTCCACTTCTAGAAAACAGACCTGGTAATATGCCAAGGAGAGTTAGCTTGGGGTGGTGGTTAAGGCTCTAAGCTAGAAACCAGTAGATTGAGTCCTAGACCCATCTTAGGCACAAAACCAGCTGGGTGACCTTGGGCCAGTCTCAGCCTTGAAAAGGAGGCAATGGGAAACCACTTCCAAAATTTTGCCAAGAAAACTTCAGGAATTTTTCCAAATAGTCACCAGCAGTCAACAACACCAAGAGAGAAGCAAATCCATATTTTCTACAGAGAAAAGGATGTAGTGCTTCTCTATTTGCTTTGATATATTTCTTTTGTTTTGCTAGAGGTTCCCTGTGAGCAGTCTTTTTTATCTCCCTGTGCAAGAGAGCAGTTTTGCTAACTCCTCTTACCCAAAACATGCAGAGACGTTCTTACAACATGCTATATTCAGTAGCAATGTAGCCATGTTCTCTTCATTGTACTGTTTTTGACTATTGAAAATTTGATAACATCATTTGCTATGGAGGGAAAACTAATCCCAGAACGAAGACGAGAGCAACACTTTTTAGAAAAGTGGGTCCAGTCTTCATTACACAGAGTAGAAATGATTAAGTATTTTCACAGCACAGAGTAGACACATTGTACATTTTTTCCTTACCAAGAAAAGAGTTCTAAAAACTGGATCTGCAGATATATTGATAAAGCAGTGGACAGTGGCTTGTGCATATGATATAATCAGTATACTTTACCCTTGATCAGATTTAATGCTGTATTGTAAATGTTTACTCTGAAAAAAGGACAAATTAAGACTTATGCAATTAGAAGACATGTGGTCTTATTAAAGTCAAATATGCCTGTCAAGCCAAGAGGGGCATTTAAAAGACTTAATACCTAAGTCTATATTTTTTTTCATTAGGATAGATATATGTCCACCATATTTTGAAGTGGGATAAAGCTGGGCTTTCTTGAATAGACTCTTAACTTGAACAACTTTGTTTAGCAAGTCCTACTAACATTTACAGTACTCTGAAGTATTGTAGTAAGATCTGCTACGTTCATTGAGACTTATTTTTAGATAAGCATGCATTAACTACAGCCTTGATATTATTTAATATTATTTCTGTCTTTATTCTAAAATGTCTTACAGTTTTAAGCATTGCAGAACTTAAAAAAAAACCTCTTATATAATGTCTTTAAAGAATAAGAGTAAGAATATTGATTGTATATAATTATCATTTAAATTCTGTTTTCTTTGATCTTATGACATACGACGAAATCAAGGTTGCTATACTTTAAAGAAGTGTACAGAAAAAGGAATTTCTCCTCTTGAATTTCTGTACTGTAGAAGAATTTCTGGGATAATGCAGTTAGGAATATAGGAATTTCTAGTATAATTTCCTACCTTCCTAATTGCATTAGTCATAACTCTCTTTTATACAGATTCCAAGGATTTGGGAATTTTCTCCTCTGCTGAATCTGGTCATATATTATTGTTTTATTATTAAATTATATTATTAAAGTAGTGTATTTTAAAAAAAAATCAGAATTGCCATATGTAAGTAATTAAAGTTAAGCAGCATTAAATCCTATAGCAAATCTCACTGGTGTAAGTGGAGGGGGGGAATGGGGGAGATGGAATTATCAGTTCCACTATGAATTTTATAGTATTAGAATCAGGAAGAAACTCTAAAGACTTTCACTAAAAGTATGTAAATGTGTAACAATACAAAACACAAACAAAAATCCCAAGCAAACATCTATGGTTGTTTTTCCTGAATTGTTATTTCAGAAGGCTTATCCTTGGAAATAATCCATTTAGGTTTGGGGTAAGAATGTAAAGGAGAAAAAAAAAAGCATGTACTTAAACATATAGAACAGCTGCTCCATAGCTAATGTTGCCTTATTCCTGTTTTGAATTTTCTCTTTTTTCATATAATATTTAGAAATCTGCATATTAATAAGTCCACAGCAGGTTAGAAATTCAACTTTTAAAAAGCATAGAAACAGAATATATGGGGAAAAGCAATTTGTGCAATACTAAATCTATATTGAATGATCCCTGTAGAGTTGTGGTGATGTAAAAACCTGGCTTAGTATATAGAGTACAAGACTGAAGACCTCAAATTTCCTTTTCCAGAAACACTCTTTGTTGTGTCCTGAGCCTGCTGAAGTATTCAGCAGGCTCAGAAATGTTGCAAACGGTCCCAGGCAAACCAAAAGCTGCCGGGACCAGGCTAGCTGGCGCCAGCCTTGTGTGCATGCGCAAGGCGCGAAATAGCCAGATTCTTATTGGTTGTTCCTGTCCGGTTCAGGACGCTATAAAAGGCCTGCGTGCCTTTTGCTGTTTGCTGGTTGTAAGGAGAAGATCAATAAAGAAGCTTGTTGTTCACAGTGTGCCTTCGTGTGATGCCTGAATCCCCAATACATAAAACTCTTATTTAGCGTTTCTCAATCAGATGGATAGACTTCAACTCCAGAATTTCCCAGCCAGCATTTTGTCCAGGGAATTCTGGGAGTTGAAGTCCACATATGGACATGAGTTTTTGTACAGTGGTCAGTTCCCAAAGGTAGTTATATAAACAACCACTGCAAACTCCTTCATTATCAGTGAAAAGTTCTCAGTCCACAGAAAGATCTTAAAACAGAAAATTCAGAGGTCTTCACCCTAATGTATTTTGGATGTATTTATTTTAAATGGGAAGTTTTTCAATTGCCAGGATTCCTATGTCTCATCCCTTTTTTTTCAATAAATCTTGGTAAAGACGCCCTGTGAGAATGGTGCTTCCGGTGTAGACTAAAGAGCCTGACATTTGCCTTCTGCTTTCAAGTAGCAGCTTGGTAGTTCCTGCTGCCACCATCCATCTTCCACAGGGCACTTTTCCCCTAAATCCCATTGTGTGTGAGAGATAGTGCTCTTATAATCTGTGCTGCCTTATTTACTCAAAAAGTAAATGAAAATATATCAAATAAAAGGTAAAAACATTAACTAATTTCAATAAGTTCCCATCTTATTGAAAGTAAATAAAGTAAATCATAAATAAAAGTAAATACAACAAATAAAGTAAATAAAATAAAAAAGATAAATAAAAGTAAGTAAAATTAAAGGTAAAAAAGTGAAAAAAAGGAACTAATTTCAATAAAATCCCAACATTAACCAGAGCCTAAATAGAATGATCCTAATCCTTGCTTTTTCTAGCCTTGGTTAACAGCTTCTTTGTTTGTTTCCTCTTCTAGTTTTCTCTTCATTTAAAATGACCAAAGCTTTTCTTTATCTCCCGCAGAGGAAAGGCTGACAAAAACTGTTTCTAGGTATATGGTGACAAAGAGCATCTCTCACTCAAGGATGCGTATTGTGTGGCTGAACTTGTTTGGGATGAAAGCCTGATTGGCCATCTAGGGGATGGATCCAGAGGGCCTTCATAAGCCCTCTTCTTTGCACAAGAGTGTTTTAATAGTGTAAGATATTATGCTTTGAGGGCCACCCAGAGTTGGTAATAATATGAGTGGTTTTATAAATGTTTTAAATAAATACATTTAAAGAAATAAGATCCTTGTGTGAAAATACAACTGTGATCCCAAGATGTTCTCTGCATGCTCAAACATTGGCTAATGTTTCAAAATATGTGTTAGCACAAGGCCTTAAAGAGGTTCACATATTTTATTTGCTAGTGTACAAAAGTTCACTGAATAAATATATCAAAAACAAACGGCACAACTTATTGTTAATGGAGGTTTGTCAGAGGTATTTACAATAGAAAAAGGTACTAGGCAAGGATGTCCACTATCACCGTTGTTGTTTGTCTTAACATTGGAAATATTGTTGATCAAAATTCGAGATTCGCAGGAAATTAAAGGAATAGAAGTTAATAAAAAAGAATATAAGTTAAGAGCCTTTGCAGACGACTTGGTGGTTACTTTGTCGCAATCTATTAGTTCTGCAGTAAAGTTATTACAGTTAACTCATCAATATGGTTTGGTTTCGGGTTTTAGGATTAATGTTAACAAGACTAAAATCCTACCTAAAAATATGACTATTCAGGAGAAGCAGACTCTGGCTAACTTGACGGGTTTTGAAATTGTTAATAAGGTAAAATATTTGGGGGTGATGCTATCTGTTTCTAATGCAAAATTATTTAAAAATAATTATGACAGGTTGTGGGTTAGTGTACAGAAAGACTTGAAGAATTGGGAGAAGCTGCAATTATCTCTCATGGGAAGAATTGCAGTGATAAAAATGAATATTCTACCCAAGTTCCTTTTTTGTTTAAAATGTTACCGATTTTGAAAAATGAGACTAACCTAAGTGAATGGCAGAAGGGTGTTAACAAATTTATTTGGGCAGGGAAAAAGCCAAGGGTTAAGTTTAAAATTATGCAAGACTTCCGTGAGAGAGGTGGACTCAAGGTACCGAATTTGAAATTATATTATGATGCGGTGGTTTTAACACTAATTAGTGACTGGGTAAATTTGACAAATCTAGAGATACTCCATCTAGAGGAATGGGACTTACTTTATGGGTGGCATGCCTATTTAATATTTAATAAAAAAGTGGATTGGGCTTTTAAATCTCATATTATAAGAACTTCTTTACTTAGGATTTGGAGAAAATATTATAAAAGTGATTTTAAAGTACCATTATGGGCTATACCCTGGCATGCGATAGAAGGAATAAAAAGAGGTGTTAAAATGGACATGGTGTCTTACAGACAGCTACTCAGATGGGATGGACAAAATTGGCAATTAAAATTACGGGAGGAGTTAGCTCAAGAAAACATTATTTATTCTTGGTTTCAATACAGGCAATTAGCAGATAGATGGAAGGTGGATTGTAAGGTGGGCTTTTTTAGAGAAGATGAAAATCTTATTAAGCAAGTGAAGGATCAAAGACAAGCCCATATTAAGAGAATTTATGGGGTGCTAGTTGAATTGGATTCAGAAACGGAATTAATTAAAGATTGTATGATTAGATGGGCTCAAAACTTTGGTGAATCAGTCCCATTGGATACATGGGAAACCATTTGGGTAAGAAATGTCAAATTTACACAGGCACAGAACTTAAGGGAGAATTTTTATAAAATGTTTTATAGATGGCACCTTGACCCACAAAAAATGTCTTTCATGTACCCGGACCTACAGCCTAAATGTTGGAGATGTGGCTGCTTGGATGCCACTTATTACCACATTTGGTGGTCGTGCAGAGAGATAAAAGCATTTTGGATTAAGATATGGTGGAATATTCAGAGAATTTTCAGAAGGAGGGTAAAATTTACTCCGCAGTTATTTTTGTTGGGTATAGTTACTGATTGTGATACAAAGGAGGTTATATTGATGTTAAATTTGATTACAGCCGCAAGGCTGTTAATAGGACAATATTGAAAGAAGGAATCCTTGCCTACACTGCAGGAATGGTTTTTTAAGGTGTCTTATTTGGCGGAAATGGCAAAGATTTCGGCTTTCTTAAAGGAACAAACGCAAGAGAAATTTCTTGCTGTTTGGGATAAATGGATAGAATTTATACAATTTAAATTGGATATAAAAAAATATCATATTGCTTTTTCATAATTTTTATTTTTTATATACATATACATATATTTTAGTCTTAAATCTTTTTTCTTTTTTATATATAATTTTTTTAATTCTTTTTTAATTAAGCCTATATTCTGCTCTGGGAAGCTCAGGGGGGGCAAGGGGGGGTGTTTTTGGGGGGGGATGGGGAAGGGGATGTTATGTTTAATTTTTTGTATATGTTGTTTTCTGTTTTTGTATTGTTGTATTTTTTTCTGTTTTTTTGTAAAAACTTATAAAAATTTTCAATTAAAAAAAAAAAAAGTTCACTGAATAGCCGTTCATCTTGGAAGCCAACTATTAAAATAAAATATTTTTCTTTCCTGCTGAGAAAACTTAAACTGATCTTCTGAAAGTAAAATGGAATGCATTTCTTACAGAACTGGTTTAAGTCAATCCAATAGTAACGAGTAACTATTATATGTATTCATAGCACAGGTTTATCCATCAGATTTACAGACAATTTCTACTTTTTCTCTTGACAACTGTAGTAGCTTTCCATACATAGGAACAGTAGCTCTAGAGCAGCAAACTTCAAATTTTAGATACCCAAGGAACCCTTCTCAATGTGGAAAATCAATGCATTAATGTGTTTCATATGAGATATTTTATCTGAAGAAAATAAATTATACATTTCATACTATGCAAGCAGAAATGCCATATTGAACCCTTGGATGATTCTCATGGGGTTCTGAGGAATATAGTTTGAATACCATAGTTCTAGAGTAGGAGTGTCCAATCCTGGCAACTGGAGAATTCTGGGAGTTGAAGTCCACAAGTCTTAAAGTTGCCAAGGTTGGACACTCCTGTTCTATAGTAACCATTTCTTTTAAAAGCATTGTATGAAGTGGAGCATTTCAGACACAATGAGAGGGAGACAATGAGAGACATTTATACCTCAAGAGCATTAAGTGTGTCTACAATTGTTATTTTCATTCTAGGAAACCATCCAACTTTCTGTTACACTGAAGAATGGACACTATGCCCCACCTGCATATGAAAAGCTGGTATGTTTAAGCACACGTTATTTTCAACCATAGTTAAAGAAAACTAAATATGGAAATGATAAACTCTTCAGATATAAAATCAGAGGAATCTATTATTGTGACACAATTCTAAATGTGCATAATACATTCAATCTTATTTTACTAGCTAGAATTCTAAATCCTCAATATAGATCCTAAATAACATAAATATTGATTTATATAACTGGACAAGTAGAACTGAAGCCTTAAGATGATCTTGGGTGAGCTCTATTCTCACAGTACCACTTTACTTGGGGCAAAGTTTGGGGAATACATATTCTGATGTGCAAAAAGGAAGCCAAGATGAAATTAAAATTGGGCACACGCCTATTACATGTAAACAGGCTAATATCTAGATAGCATCCTTCATTCTACCTGGTACAGTAGATCAGTTCAGGTGGACTAGGACAGACTAGGTGCCCTTCAACAGAGCTGATCATCTAAGGAATCCAGAGAAAAGAGCAAGATAACTGATAACCTCTTGTCCTCTAGAATTTGCCTTTTGACACAGATATTATATCTGCCAAATGATAGGTTTGGCCTTGATACATTACATTTAAAGACCCCTCCTATTGACCTAACATTTGGGACTTTCCCTGTCACTGTCTTAACTTATGTCTGGTATGCCTGTTAGAAATAGCCCTTCTGGGTAGAGCTATTTGCAATATTAGTTTATTTGTAAAACAAAGTATATTCGTAAAACAAAGATGAGGTGTGTCAGCCTGGCTTTGAATGTGCTTAGTATAGAAAAGGATTCCAGCCAAAGCATACAATAAACTATAATTCTGTTTTGGAGACTATAATCCATATTCCAGATGCCTGGCACTTTCGCACAACTAGTGGTCCTCAAGGGAAAGTTTCAGTACAGTATTTCCAGGTGCTTAACTGCTTGCCTCGTTTTGTAACTTCATTTAATTGTATTAGTTTATTTAAGGAGTACTTTGTATGAGATGGTATTGCTGCAGAGCAGAAGTACACTAAACTTGTAATTTAAATTCCCATAATCCTTCACCAGTTTGTTTAAAGTGTGTTGCGATTTAACACATTTATAGGCATCAGGATGGGAAACCCTGGGCTGTTCCATGTGGTAACAACTCTCTGAGGCATCAGGCAGGGTTCAGTTTTTTTCCATCAGTTACTACGAATCTTGAAAGGAAAGACATGCCCGGGATTGGAACAGTCTGTAAGACAAGCTTATAGTATTTTGTGCTCTTCCTTCTTCTTCTGCAAGAAGGCAGATTTCTTCCAGGCCTCTAAAATCCATCTGGCAAAAGGACCTTGTGAAACTGAATTGATCCCAGTGCAGGAAATCTCTCCTCAGCTGTAGGTTAACTTTGTTCTTCAGCTTTCTTTCTGGTCTGGAGAAATTGAGTCGAGGCAGGGCTCCCTCCCTAATGGCTGCTACCCAGATGCTTCTTTCATCACTTTTCAATAATGGCTTTCCCTCCCCAATCCAGCACTTCCTGTTTTTCACATTTCATTCCAGCTTATTACCTGAGGGAAAAAATAATGAGAAGGCAGGAGCCAAAAGAGGAGCCAGTAACTTGTACTCAGCATCTGGAGCTGACTGCCTCTGAGGACTGAATCAGGCCCATCTCATAGAATCATAAAGTCAGAAGGGACAGCACACTGCTGAGTCATACTTAAGCAGTGGCCCACCAGAGCACCTAGATCCCTCTCATGGGCACCACTGTTGAGACAGGCACTGCCTATCCCAGACCTACACATCTTGTTTTTCCTACTTAAATGCAGGACCTTCCTTTTCTCGCCATTGAACTGCATCAGAACTAGAGCCATGTCTTTTTTTCCAGCCAGAAATTGCTCTGTTTGCCCTGTTCCTCAGAATAGTTCTTGCAGCAAGTACCAAATTAAAATAACCACCACACTGGTGTGCTCTGTTGCACATCAAGGCGGAATTAATACTTGTTTAATAGGATTTCAGCCTCATCAAAATAGGCAAAGGTGAAAGTTGACTGGAAAAAGGAAAGTGGGAGCAAGGTTTGCATGCTAATAAAGTATGAGTAGTCCTCTACTTATGACTTTAGCGGCTGTTCAAACTTACGACTGAGCCCCCCCAAAAGGTACTTGTGACCCAGTTTCCAAATTCCAATGGTCGCCTCTTTCTTAAAGTGATGTGACCACATTTTGGATACTCAACTGGCCAACATTTTGAAAGATAAATGTCTCCCCTGCCAGTCGTGTCCGATTCTAGGGGGTGGTGCTCATCTCCGATTCACAACCAAAGAGCCAGTGTTGTCTGAAAATGCTTCTGTGGTCATGTGACCAGCCTGACTATATGCTGAAGGTGCACGGAACATTGTTACTTTCCCACCAAAGTGGTACCTATTTATCTACTTGCATTTGTGTGCTTTTGAACTGCTTGGTTGGCAGGAGCTGGAACAAGTAATGGAAGCTCACTCTTTACATGGTACTTAGGTCTCAAATTGCCAGCCTTCCAGCCCACAAGCCTAGCAGTGGCCAAGTGGCTCACATGTACAAGGCGATCTATGACATTTTTGCCAAAAAGCAATGGTTCCCTCTGATTTTTGGCAAAAATGTCCGATAGTGAATAATGGATTCACTGAACAAGTGTGATATTCATTTTACAACCGCCACAAAAAGGTCATAAAATTGGGTCCATCACATGATGACACATTTACAACTGCCATGATTTACAGCCATCATTGGCAGGCTCATTACAGTCATAAGCTGAATACGATCTGTCTATGAAATTAAATTAAGACATGATAGCATAAAAATAAGGTAAAGTATTTATTGGACCTCTAGCATATCAAAATGACTTGTTATAATGCAGGAATGAAAAAGAAATCTACCTAAAGTGCTGAGGTAATAGAAATATAGTTTGCAGGAAAAGACTTAGGATGGATCTTTCTAAAAGTGTCATTATTTTATGTGCTGTAAGTGCTGGACATAGGCAGTAGGCTATACTGTTTTTCCCAGCACATACCTTATTAAAGAATCAAGAGAATAACATAACTCAAATTTGCAAAAAAAAAAATGTTTCTTATTTTTCTAAAAAGGAACCTCCTCTAACTCAACTGACTCAAAATGTACCAAGAAATGGGACTGGCTTTGAAAATCACGAAGTCATCACAGGTAAATTTACTTTAGTTTCTCTCATAAAGTATTTATTCTTGCTTTAGGAACAGAAACTGGAATTAAAGCTGCTATCTTGTTTTGTGCACTAGGAAATGAGGGTGTTTCTGCTGAGTTTGGAGAAAGACATCAGCCAAGTCAAACTGGTCTCTGCAGAAAGAGCTACCCACAGCAGAGTGAGGAGGAAAAGGGTTACTCCAGCTTGTCACAAACACACAGCATGAAGCAGAGGAATACTAGTGACATTATGCAAGGTATTGGCTAGATACTGTTCATTAATGCATTAAGACTGTAGCTCTGTATACCCATATATAGTGATAACTCCCTTGAATTCAACAATACTAGACAGGTTTTCATTGGAAAAGCCTATTTGTATTACATCAGTTGTTTTGTTACAGCTTTACTCAACAAAACTAGCTTGAGAAACAATATGCTTAGGCACATTTGCCCTATATAGGCATCCCAAGTCCTATAGAGAAATCCCCAATTTTCAAATATCCATTCTGATTATGCAAATAGAACTCAAAGGAACTCTCACTTTCCATGTCCTACCATGCTCAGATGATTCCCAACTTCTCCATACATTCTATCCTTACAAACCACATTTATACACCACACATAAATTGCCTTTGTTTTTTTTAAACTTCTCATTTTTTCTTTTGAGGATCCATCGCATCAGGTCCATCCAACCGTAACTTGCCCAGTCTTCTATTTCTAATGAGTGAGTCTCCTCAACATCTGGTCACCTTTTTGATCCACAGTTACTCAGCACCCAGACATTCTCGATTCTACCTCTCCCTGTTTTACCATGCACATTTCTTAAGTAACCCATTCCCACTGCATTCAACTTGTTTCTCCAGAAATACCAATTCTCACTTCCCTATAACAAAGTGGGCAGAAGTGTGCTTTTTGGGCGACAAACATTCATTCCATGCAATGGACCACATGTTACCTACTAACTTTTTACTAGCATTTGTATATCTTAACATTTCTCCATCTGTTTTCTCATCTTTAATAAACATTCTACCAATATACATAAATTCATCTATTTATTCTAGTTTTCCCCACTCATGTGTAATTTGCAATCATTTATTCCATTTACCCATCAAACACACCTATAGCATATGATGATTTCAGATCAATAGTTCTGGTTATATCATATAGTCAGTCGAAAACTTGAATTAACAGCTGATAAAACTGCATCAACAACATGTACATTAAAATGTACTCTGACAAATGTAGCTGTAATGTTTCCCCAAAGAATTTCTTATATATTTACAAGTATCCCTCAGTACAACAAATAACCAAAGAGATATCACATATCTTTGATTTGCTCCTGGCTCATTATGGAAATATTGAATAATTCATTAAGCATTTTATTTATTCTCGCTGGCTTTACTTTTATCAAATACAACTCTTTCCATTTCAGCAACCAATCATTAACTTCGAATTTGAACAAACTATTTGATAATTCAAGCTTATTCACTGTCATCTAAATCAATAAACACGCAGTAAATATTATTCCACACTGCTTAATAATCTGCTAAAAAGTAAAAATCTGAGGTGCTCATGCACACTACTTGACATTAAGTCATATAGCATTCATCACATTCATTTGTTACCTCTTGTTATCTTTCAGGCAAAATTCTACCAAATGCATTCCTGGGTACACTTAACAAACAAATTTCCGTATAGTTTTTCATTCATTCTTGCTATCTTTCTATTTAGGAAAATAATAACCATATTCTTCTAATTATCATACACAGCTTCAGTTCTCACGTAGCTATTACATTAATCCACAGTCATCCCATAAATCAGTGATTCTCAACCTGTGGGTCGGGACCCCATTTGGGGTCGAACGACCATATCAGGGGGGTCGCCAAACAATGCAGTCCGCCATTTTTTCCCCCTTTTCCATGGCTGTGCTACTCCCTTTTATTCTATTGGCTTTTGAAAGTCAATAGAATAGACTCTCTTGAATAGAGCCTAATTCTATTGGCTTTCAAAAGCCAATAGGAATTGTCCAGGCTGTCTCTGCCCTGCTGAGGCCGCCAAAAGTCCCATTCTGCAAACAGTGCTGCAAGTTGTCTGCAGCGAAGGCGAGCTGTCTGGAATTTTCCACCCCTCCCTGCTGAGCAACTACTAAAAATGTAAGTAAAAGAGGGCCAGGGGTGGGAGGTGGGAGGCTGGCGGGCGCAGGGAGGGTTGCTGGCGTGTGTGGGGCCCGGCGGGTGCCTTACCTCCCTTGGGCTGGGCCAGCTGGTGGCCCAGCCGGTGGTTGGCCTGCGCCGTCTCTGCTGCTTGCCAGCTACGCCTCGGCCGGCGCAGGGGGCGGCACCATGCATGTGCAGCGCTCCCGGGCAGGGAAAGTCCTCGACTTATGACCGGTTGGGTAGTCCTCGACTTACGACCAGTTGGGTAGTCCTCAACTTACGACCGGTTGGGGTCGCGGCATTAAAAAGGTTGAGAACCACTGCTATAAATAAACCACATCTTTATTTTAACATGTCTCCTGTTAAACTGCAACCATATCATTTTTCAATGTGCTCAGAGCTTATATGGCTTCACTCCATTTTTTTTTAAAGTAACATTTATAGCATTAACTTCAGTTTCACTCTTTGGCATATTATCACTCCCATGTAAATCTCTAAATCAGGGGTGTCAAACTGCCGGCCTGTGGGCCGGATGCATCATAGCGAAACCATGCCCACCCCATTGTTGGCAGTGGCAAAAAAGTCACGATACATCATGACACATCATGTGACGTTGCGAGTTTGACACCCCTGCTCTAAAGTATTCCTTCCAGCATGCCCTCACTTCGCTTTCATCCCAGATCATTTCCATGACTTGTCTTTTTTATTTCCACACTTTTTTGGAGGATTTTTTTTATCCCTTTTCACTCCCCTTTCAAAATAAAATTTTCATTTCTTAACAGTTCTTTACTTTTTTGATTACATTCTTTGCAATTCTCTTTTTCTTTGTGTACATATTATATAATAGAAGTCGGTCATCCTCAATTTTTCCAGCAATTGTTCTTTTATATGAATCCAATCTCCCCTCATTCAATTGGCAGATTAATCTCTCTCCTAATAATTTTTCATAAAACAATGGTACTTTCTCTGTCTGCAGTTTCTATTTTCTTTCCTTTTTACCAATGTTCTTTTTTGTCCAAAGACCTACTCTTGACACCACTAGAAAAAAATGATCTAGCCAATGGTGGGATTCAGCCGGTTCGTACCACTTCGGCAGAACCAGTAGCTAATTTTTTGTTGCCCAGGCCCAGAATGGACTTCTGGAAGTGGCATCCACAGAGAGAATCGGTTGTTCATATATTTGAATCCCACCACTGGATCTAGTTCATATTTAGAACCTTTCATTACACTTGTAACCTTCACTAATTAATTATAAATCAATTATTCCTCAACTATTTAAATAAATAACAATTAAATCAAGCATGTTACATTTCTTTTCCATGTTTTCATCAGTGGACTTACTCTTAAAACACAAATTTGAAAAAATAAACTTTTTCTAAGCAAATTTGCCCCAAACTATTGCCATTTCCCTATTTTGGAATTCTAAGTACAAATACATTTTCTATATACTCAGTCACTCTCACTAGTTCCTTTATGCCTCCTAATGGAAAAATGTTTTGTCCTGGATCACATTCATTTAAAATGTTGCAGATTTTTTTTACTATACTCATCCATTATCATAATTCACTGGGTTGTAACTTGCAGTTATCATCAACCTGAAATGTGACTTTCATAACCCTTCACACAATGCAAATGATATTTAGTCACACTTTTTGATATACATTTGAGCAATTTCATTCATAATAAACATTCATTCATTTCTTTGTATTTATCTTTCTACAAGTTCAGTCCACCTTTATTGAGACCTATTAATCTCTTTGACTTTCAGACATACATTCTTTAGGCAAGGATTTTGAAAATATTCAAATTGAAATCCAATATTTTCTTTCTTTTATTATGTCATGCTTTGTACTTTTTACTCCTACACATTCCAAGTAACAATCTTCCTTATGCTGTGGTTATCACAAATTGGGCACTTAGATTAATTACAAGCCTTAATCATACTTATGACTTGTAGAACTGCCTGCAGATAGCGCTGATACTACTGATATTATTTGATGCATGTCATCCAGAATATCAACTAGTTCCAATGCAAGCAGAACTTGATTTTAACTGAGCATGCTTTCGCTCTCATCTCGGCAATAAGGAGATACTTGGGATATCAATAACCTTATGTTTTTAAACTTTAAAATAGTTTAAATAGTACTTTAAGCTATTTTTATTTAGGAGGGAAAACTGATGTGGTTTGTGTGCCTATATGCATGTGCTATGTATGCATGTGTATGCTAATAATAAAGATGAGTCATTCTGTTGAAAAACAAGGCTGGGTAAAGACATGTGAAAAGAAGGAATTTCTTTTTCATGCCAATTGTTGTTTTGCTTCCTGGATTATTTTTTCTGCCTGCCATCCATATTTCATATTTTAGGCAAGAATTTTGAAAATATGGGATTTCTTTCCATACTGTCATTGTAACTGACAAATCTTGGGTGAAAGTAAAAGTTGCCTTCGAGTAGATTTAATTGGAAGGCATTATAGAAGTGATTGGCTGTTGCCTTTTGGGGGTTGGGTTTTGCTTGTTCTGATTTCCCAATCTGGTCTGGGATTCATCCTCTCAAGATCTGAAATCCAAATATTAACCAGACTCAGCCTTTTTTTTTTTTTTTTAACCCAAGGAAGAAAATAATATGGGCTAGAATCAAAGCATTTGCTATGACTTATTTCTAAAGGGATTCCCACTCCTTCATCCTCTGCTGGTAATAAAATCTCCTTAAGTATTTAGAATTTAAATGTATAAGATCACCTGATTCACAGAGACTCGTCCAGAATTAAAAACTGAATTAAAAACTGAGGCCAAATTACCCCCTGCAATACTCTCTCAGATTGACACACATCCTTGTTGACCTAGAATTTTGCAAAAAAAGCCAGGTCTTCCATGCTCAGTTAAAGACTGGCAAGGTTGTTGAGTTGTTCAAATCGCTTTGGGGATACTATTCCAGATGGCAGGAGCCGTAATAGAGGCAGTGTGCCTTCTATGTCCTACCGGAAGATATTGATTGGTTAATGGGCAGAACAAGAATTTTCCATGCCTGTATAACATGTAGAAATAGTTTCATGCTTTTTAGTTGCATATTACTCATACTCTGTAAACAATTGTTTTCTA